TTCGTTTTTCTTCCAGTCGCGTCGTATTCTCCCGTCTTATCGCCCAACGGCGTCGTTATCGTTTCTCCAACAGCCGTCGTTATCGGTTCGGTTATCGCTCATTTGCTCATCACTCATTATTATTGTTTTGTATACCGTTTTTCCGCTGCCCGGTTTTCCAGCCTTCGAGACCTCTTTCCGTCGCGTTCTCGACGCTGTAGCCCAGCGGGTCTTTTCGTCCGGTCCGCGCGTCTCCGGATTTCGTTCGCGTCCGGAAAGCGTACTCGCGCGCGCGTTCTCCGGTCGGTCGTCTATCGTCAATACTGTTTTTACGATACGATAAATCGTTTATCCGTATCGATTACGCGTTTTGTTTTCGGTGTCTCGCCTCGGACGCTCCAGACCTTATCGTCTCGATAGCGTACGAAATGATACGATTATATGTGTATATATATATAATAATAATATTATATAAATAGCGTGGTACTCTGTTGACGTACGTCAGATTATGTTTATTATATACAAAAATCGAAAACGTTGCTCTTCAGTCGTTTAATGCCTTTAATCGCATACCTTGGGGATATCGTGATATGTGTGTGAACAACTCGGTACGTCTTTGAGACGTATACGTTAAAAATGTAAACGAATATCGCGGAAACGTTCTAAACGACAATAATGATCGATTTACGGTTTTGCACGCGAATCGTAAAGTGTACAGTACAATGACGTATAATGTAGATTCGTCGCATCTTCTAAAAGGTTTTAAAGTAAGCTAATCGATTATCGTTATTTTATACCATGATAAGAACTTGTTCAAAATGCTGGTTAGAAATTATTTAGAAAATACTAAATAGATTTTTATTATTAGACTGATTTTATGTTATTGAATTAATTATTTTCATTATTTGATTAGCAATACGTAATCCCTGAACGAAGTACCAGGCACAACGCCTTCGACGTCAGGAGGTATGACAATCCGCCGCAGGCGGATTGCCCTGTCAGGAATCGATATTCACTGGACGATGACTGATAACTAGACACTTGATCAACCTTTCGGAGTGTATATTTATTTATTTTCCATGCACAAAAGCACAGGGCAAGCTACGCGGATTGCCCAGTCGAGTAACGACAAGCACCGGGTAATGACTGATAGCTAGACATTTAATTACCATTTTGGAATGTATTTATTTATTTTCCATGCACAAAAGCACAGGGCAAGCTACGGGACAAGGTGTATTACACCTGTGAATTTAATGAAATAACCGACCACTAGACGCTAGAATTAGACTTATTATTTACGCGTTTAAAACGACACCGCCAAAGTGTAGAGCCACCAAATCAGAGGTACCAACATCTCATTCGTCGTTATCACTGGTTTTGCCTACTAAACTTTTCTAACTGCTGTATTCCTAAATCCTGTCTCCGACCTAGGAAATTCACTTCAAACGATATTCAGCTACCTAGGGTACTCACATACAGCGAGTTTTACCGACCTAGGGTATTCACATACGTCATACAGCGAGTTTCACCGACCTAGGGTATTCACTTACAGCGAGTTTCACCGGTGCTAGTAGGTCTATAAACTATCAAATGTCACTTTAGTAAGTATGACGAAAAAAAGCTTTGGCTTACCAAGACTTTTCAAGTGTGTGGAAACAGATAAAGTAAATCAAAATTTGATATAATTTACAATAAATATTAAATTTTAATAATCATTTGCTTTAATAAATTCTAAGAGTTTCAAAATGTAATTTAGTTTCAATATATTTCATTTTTTTGATTTTACTTTTACATACTCATGTACACCATTTAACATTATTAATTAATTTAACCTGTTTGTACCACCTCACATTACATTTTTTCATTTCGATTGTTAAAACAGATGTCTTTGAAATAAATACATAAACTATTTATTCATTTGTTTTAATGAATATAATCCAAAATAAATAGGCACTCTTGTGGTGTTTCTAATATCACAGTACCTAAGAGGAATGCAATCATTTTACATTTGTTCTTTGCAAAGAAAAGTTCTAACTATCTAAATTGTTATATCTTTGTAATTATAAAAAAAAAATTAAAATATGATTTCATATAAAGTTTTAATTATATTATTTTTTACGATTAATATGAGCTACTGTTATTCTAAAGAGGAAATTCAGAAAGGTAACGAACAACAATTAGTTTATAAAATATAATGTACCTATTTCTAAATAATTGAAAACTTGCGATTAAAAAACTTTAAGTAAAAATTAGATTATAGATTCATTGTTTCAAAATGAAAAAACATCACTGTTAATTTAGCTTATTTTGTCTTCGAATGCAACCGAATGATAGAAATAAGAAACTACTACTAATAATAATAATATTAATAGTACGATTTAGTGATAATAACAATACAATGTTGTAGCATTTTTATTATTTAGATCATAGTTGTCACTTATCAATAACTATTAACTTTTCATTCGTTTAAGTTTCACGAACTTATATTAACTTTTTTAAGGACTGTTTACTGACACAATTAATTGCTGATTATTTATCATGTCTGGTTTGTTGTTTTTTTTTATTTGAGATTAAAGGTCCAAATGTAGATTTTAATGGCACTGATTTGTAAATTTAAATTTCCATTTGATGCCTAGTTATAATTGATTCACATGAAATATTTTATAGGTTATATATTTAAAAGTTACGAAAAAAAACTCTATAAAGTAATAAATATGGATCTTTAGATGTAATATATTATACCTTTTCATATAAATTATCCTAAGACCACACGATGAGCGAGTAAACCCCGGCCTCACGAGCCTTCGAAAATTATGATTGACATCTTTAATCTGTGAAGTATTGAAGTGAATACCCAAATATCTCATAGTATGACTATGTATATCAGACTCAAATATCCAGTGATCGTCTTTAAAGTTGGCACAACGAATGAGGAAACGAGATGTTGACAAACGAATTGAAAGTTATAATATAATAATAAAATTATACTGCTAAATGAAGATCCCTCTTTTTTTGTTTAAACATCATTACTGTTGTTTTAATTATTATATTTGTTTTTTACTGTCATCATGAATTTCATTATTGTATTATTATTATAACTGTTATTATTCACACAACCATTACTATTATATTCCGATATTTGTATTAATTTACCTATTTATATTCAAAGCACATTTTCCAATAATTTTTAATAAATAAATAAATAAATTATAGCTTTTAAGTATTAAATAATAACACGTATTATTTAATCTAGTTTATTTATTTAGGTATATAAATTATATTGATTGATTTTAATTTTGAATATTAGGATAGTATTAAAATATTTGAACATAATTGTTTAAGAACTTTAAAACTCTGTGTTCTTAAGGGTGTCTGCATAACCAAAAACGAGTGTGTGTGTGTACTTCACACACACATTCAAATATAATTTGGTTTACATACAAAGATACTGTAAAATTACACAGTACAATCCATGTTTACACAAATTAAGTGTGAACACCAGTTCACACTCTTATACATTTCACCACACTTACATGTGAGTAAATAAAATAAAACATAGAATATTAAGTCGTATGTAATTTAAAAAAAATATATTAATACATAAAAACTACATAGACTTTAAAAATTTATCCAATTTAAAGTACGCAAAATATAAATGATAAATCCAACGATCAACCATAGTATTTTATATTATAATGCATAATATACGTAATAATAAATAAATTTTAAATATCAAATAATAAACTTATTGCAGATTTTATTTTTGTTTTTAGAATGCAAAAGTAATGGATTTTAAATCAGTAAATTATAGTTAATACATTTTACAAATTATTAATAGATATGACATAGCTATGATAAAATGGATTAATTATATTATGTATACCTACTTAATAAACTTTTATAATATTTCAAGCTTTATCTTATACTAAAATTTGAAAATTCATATTTATTAAGTTAAAATTATTTTTTTTTAGTATGTGTTGGTAAGATAATTATTTATGTTAGTATATTTTTGTTTATACATTTTACAGTGTTTTTTGTATAGCATAACCATAATAAAATTACCTAAACTTGTGTGCTAGTCATACTTTTATGATATTTAAACTATTATATTTAGCTTTTATTATGTATCTACATTTAGATCTTTATTATACATTATACTCCTATTAGTAATTTTTTTTCCAAATAACATTTTTGATTTTATATAAAGCGATGAACGAATTGTTTTTGCAATGGTGTGTGTTTTAAGATTCCATGTGGAGCAATACGTAGTTAATTTCCTTAAAATATAAGATCGACAATTTATATTTATATTACTTTTTCTTAAACATTTAAATTTAAATTTTCTACAGAATTCGTCAAAATCTTGAAATGTACAAATTACTTTGTAGTTAGAAATTCATAAAAATGTTTCGGTTTATGTATAACATATTAGCAATGTTAAACCTATCCTAACCTAACCAGGGCGGGCTCCAGCAAAAATAGTGCACTAAGCAAAATCAAATTTGGTCGCCTCTTAAAAAAAAATATTGAGCTTTTATTTTTACTTTTCCTCTCCCACCCATTTTTTCATGTGACATATCTTAACATGAAAAATATTTTAAAGAAATAACAAGAAGTGTTGGGAATCCCAACTTGGGACTATCGGTATATTTAAAACCTAACGCCCATGGTATACAGCATATAATAATTTTTTAGGTAAATTGGTTTTTACTGATGAATTTTTTAAAAATATACTTCTAAGACAATACCGAAATAAAAAAAAAATAAAAAAAGTATGAGTTAATTTTTAAAATACCGCTTTTGCTAAAGTGCCGCTCTAGGCAGGTTTTTTTCTCGCCTATACCTTGTTTCACCAACGCCGGACTTACCTCCCTTGGCTCGTGGATGGCAATGACTAGTGCTCTGATGGGAAGAGTGAAAATACAAATAATAAAATAATTACCGGACGCAACACGTTCCAGCTGAACGGCGGTGCTCAACTTCTCGACCAAGGGGGTGTCCGTTATCATACCGACTTGCGTGAACATACCTTGAGCCGGCCCTGATCATAACATAAATTGTTTTTAAAACAGTTATTTATGGAGATACTCATTATTAGTAATCTTAACGATAATTATGCATCTGGCGGAGAAAAACGAAAACTGGTCAATGTGGGAGGGAGGTTCAGGCGTTGCTCTGCGGTTCATTTGGATGCGTCATGGTAGTGTGCCCTTATATTATTTGGAACGGAGTATATGAATTAAATTTAACTTTTCATAAAAACTAAGTTGATAAATGCATTGACTTGATAAAAATTTTTTGTTGTCACCACCTTTTAGTGTCAGGTAATAACGCTCCGAATTTCAACTTTTGGAGTGGTCTCTGGTAGTAAATAAACAAATTGACCTCATTTGGTACTATTGGGATATTTAAAATAAAAAAACTAACAGTATTTTTCTAAATAACTGTAAAAACAAATAAAATAAAAATAAAATAAAAGTAAGGTAAATAACATTATTATGACTACTTGAAACATCTATTCTTATAAGAGTGTCAAATTCAATATTGATATTTTATTATGCATATTTATGAGCATCAAGTCCCGATCCCTGCTGATAACTGATGAATTACATTAAGAATTTATTCTGTACATTAAAGTGGGGTGACCTACTTATTCTAAAATTGTCAAGAAAAAATTTTTAATTTAATTTCAAATTTACTTATATTACATGTTTTATGTTGGAAACAAAATAACAGACAATTTAAGACTTCTTGGGTTTAGATGTAAGTATGCTTTTTTATAGTGTTAAAATTAAGTGTTATCAGATCAATGTTTATTATTATTATAATTATATACTTAATCATATAAAATAGGTGAAACTATTTTATAATTTTCACCAGTTCTGTGAATTTAAAACAATGAAAAACCTTAAAAAACTCTTTTAAAATTTCAAAAATGCTATAAAATATACACTTCAAATGACAAAAATTGTAGTATCCTCGTGAATTTCAATAACCTACTAAAATTATTAATCAACCAATTTGAAAATTCGTGACTGATATACAAATATGCCATAAATAACTAGCAATATTCCCTTATTTTATTGAATCACAAGCTGACCCGACAAACGTTGTTTTGCCATATAAATTATATCTAATGAATATTTTGGTATTCAAATAAAAAATAATTAAATTATTATAAGTAAGAGGGAATGTCGTATACTGGTATATGGTATAGGACTGAGATGATTGGAGCACTGTGAATGATGACGGCCCATGAAAATAACAAAACACCAAATATCCTCACTGCCCATAAAGTAAATTTGTAAAAATGTATGTGGTTCGTTTGGCATTGGTAGCAATAATGAGCCCACTCTATGATAAACTTGGCCTTTGATTTTGAATGTTGAATTAAATTTTTGACCATTTGCAGCATTATTTTTATCTATTTCTGTTGCTCTGAACGATGTCATTTGGAAACATGAATTGAATGTTCGATTTGACTTCAGGAACAGGTTAAAATCTGGATCCGTACCGATAAGTAAACCGTTCAATGGTTCAGGTGGTGTTTCAATTTCCGGTAGTTGCACTTTTCCTGACGCACAACACATACCGGCTGGCTCATTTTTGAATCTAAGCGCATTACAATGCGGACATTCCTTGTCCATAGCACCAATCTCTACTTTTGAATGAGCTTAATATTTAATATCAGGCCCATACTCGAATGCTAGACGAAGGAATGAATTGGATGTAAATGCTCTATGTACTTGTTGGCGTTGTCGGTCATTTGCTTTGCGTATGTCAATGACGAATTGACGCGCTTCTAATCGTCTTTTTTGATTTTGTTCCACTTGTGCTTCACGCAATCGTACCATATTCACACGTACATTTTCATTATTCGGTTGTGCTCCTCTATCTCGCATGATTGTACTTTTGGTCGTTCGATGTGGCATTGTACAAAATAAACAATTCGATACAATTAAAGTTCATATATGTGATTATTAACCTTTCTTATAAATGAGAGAGAAAGCTAATTGTGTCAGACCGACCCATTCAATGGTCGAGTCGTTTCTGATGAATTCGTTACAATTGTTGCCAGGAAACTATAAATTGTATATTTACAATTATTTACGTAGATTACGTTTCCATTTTTTATCATAATATTAAACGACCGCGTATTTATCGCTTATCGCATATAGTTCCCAAGCAAAAACTGCTGTATCTTATTTTATTTATAATTTTTATATTTTATTTTTTATTTTTTTATTTTTCATCGCCGATATCTAACAATTGTTATAAATATTTGTGGTGAGCCACTTTTTACATCTAGGGGTATGAAAAATAGTTTACATCACTCGCTGAGACCTACTTAATATACATAAAAGATTTCATGAAAATCGGTCTAGCCATTTCGGAGGAGTTTGGTAATAAACTTTGTGACACGAGATTTTTATATATTAGATTATCTTTGACCCGCATACAGCTTATGTAAAATATAAATTTGACATTGGTACAGCCTGTGTAAAATAAAAATATATTCTCAAAAATGTTAATTGATAGAATTTGATTAATAATACGAAAAAAAGTAACTAAAATAAAAATATGACCTAAAAATTTAAAAACGTTGAATAATTCAAAATAAAAGCTTCATAAATGGAACTTTTTTTACATAATTCAAATTCATAATCAGTTAAAAAAATATACTTTCCTACAAATTCACACCCATAATTATTACACATTTGTATTTAATACATGTTTATATTAAAATTGTGTGATACATAAATCTACATATAATATGAGAAAGTAATAAACATATGATGTATTATATATATTTCTGTAGATAAAAAACCACTTATAAATTACAGTCTCGCAATGCAATATGGTAAGTAATTAAGTGAGGTTATAATTTATATCTTTAAAATATATTTGATGCCTACGCTTAAACAAAATATTATATAAGACATATAATATTCTGTAACACCCTATACGGCGTGTATTGTAGATCTGGATAATTAATGAATACAATTAACAATTTTTTTTTTCCATTTTTTGTGCCGTAACTAACATTTTCGGATAATGATCATGAAATATTAGCTACTTATGCTAATGTTATATCATTTGAAACAATAGTAAGACTTAATTTAACTCAAAATGAAATATACCAGGTGAGTTTTGTAAATTTATTTTAAATGTGATACTCATCAATTGAACTGTCTTATCTAAATTATAACTATTTATAATTTCATTTTTTTTTAAACAAAAAATAAAGCAATTAGTCAGTATAGTTCTCTAATATATTAATATCTGCCTAAATACTTCATCTTTAAAAAACTAATATAATAATAATTAAAATTAATTTACATTATAGCAAAACTTTCAAAATATTATATTATAATTTATTTAGTTAAAAAAAAAATAATGTTTAAAAAACATTAATTTTGATTAACCAACTATAACATTGATACCTGACAACGATATCATAATTCATTTTATTATTCAGTATGTCAATAATATTCTCCAATTAGAAGATAAAATAATAAACGCTTTAGATGTTACCTTATTGAATTTAAATTCTTACTGTATATAATCGTTGCTGGTAAGACACAAAAAAAAAACAAGGTATTTATCATTACCAATTATCAACAAGTTTCACACAATGAAAGATAAACAAAAGATTTTGCTATCTTTTGGTAAGTATTTGAATAATGAGTAGGTAACAAAGTGATTTTAACTAACAGTCTGCTACTTGTAGTTTAGAATTTTTTTGTTCTTTAAAATTATGTCATAATGATTATGGAGAAAATCTTCTTTTTTTTTAATTTTAAAGCTTCTTCAAATTTTAATATATTATTTCAAAAATCACAAATCAAATATTATTGTGTTTTATATATTTTGTTTACAGCAAGAACAGGAGTATGGCAAATCAGTACTATCAGCTTATAGAATAAGTAGTTATTTAATACATTTTTATAACTGCTACATACATAATTATCTTTTTTAAGTCTTATCCAATGTTTTAAATGTTTCAACTCATCAGGGTTTTGTTGGTTATTACAACTATCGACTCTATACCCAAACCATAGTCAGCCAAACATTTTTAATAACTTTTATTATTACATAGACGATATAATTAGATAAATTTAAAAAATATCTTATTGTAGTTATATATTCACATATTATCATTGTATTAAGCAAGTTTGAGTGTAACAGTTAATAAATAGTAGCCAGATAACGGAAATCCTAATATTATTAATTCGTCATTGATGAAAGCATTTGTGTTATATTATTATCACCTAGAATTTGACACATATTATTAAAAACACTGTTAAAAATAAAATAACTTATATAAAGATTATAAAATTTATAATTTCTGACAGGCTATGTATATGCGTACTACAATGAATGTATATTTTTTGATTTTGATCTTAATGGTAAGTATTATTCATAAAACGTTTCAGTTTTTATAAGTGTTTTGCAAATTAAATATAAAGATTGTTTTAAACATGTTGAACTTATACTTGTGATTTTAATTTTATATTTATTATGTATCAAGTGAAAAAATAAACAGAATCAAATAACCGATCTAGGACAAACGGCCGCGTCCATTTGTCCCTGTTTGTCAAATAACACAATTTTTTTATTAATTTATTACAGCTTTCTTGTTAAGTCCAAGAGAATTTTGTAAATTACAAAGTGAGTAATACAATAAACATGTACATAAAATAAATTCAAATTTTTTTTTCTAGTATAAATTTTCTATCCTACAAATTTATACCAAAAAAAGATATGAATATTTCAAACATTAAAAATATGCGCGGTGGTGGAAAGTTCTACGGATTATTTTTTTAAATAACAAAATAAAAAAAAATCTTTTATTGTTAAATTAATGATAGCTGTTTTTATTTAAATATCAAATAACAATATCGTGTTTATATTGGATATTATAGCTTTTTACCCTTTTTAGGTATTTCTCATAATATGCAAATGCAAAAGACACTAATAAGGTTATCTATACAACATCAAATTGCATAACTAAATCAATGTTAATTGTTCATGTTTATTGTCATTGACGTGTGCATATAGTATGACATAAACATTTTAACATGCTTTTTTAGGCTTTTTCATTGAAATACATTCAAAATATACGTATTTTGTGTTCAGTCAATATGACAATAATTATTCGTCTCTTATCAGTTCCAATCTTTTAGTGCAATTAATTGAGAATATCTTATATTAGGTACTTAAATTATTAGATTTTGACGTGGTTTTTCAAGTAACTAACTATCGTTCAAAAAAAAGAAGAACGCCTTGAAAATATAAATTGTAGATATGTACTATCTGATTGAAGTTTTAATTTGTTATGTAAAGAATGGGTCGAATTTGTCAAGGACATGTCTTTAAAATTGTGAGAAATAAAAATAGAAATGTGTAGGTAAAAGTAACTTTTATTATTTAATTTTATTAAAACCCTTATATATTTATACAGATTACCATTATTTTTGGAACGATTGAAGTTTTTTTATAATTAATACCAAATCTACCAGAAATTAAGGATATTTCTCAATTAATAATGGTTTTAAAACATACTTAAAATAATCTTCTAAAAATATACTAATGGATAAAGAAATACTATGATTATTACTTTTAGTTAATAGTTAATTTGGGCTGTAAAATTATATAGATACCTTATAATATGTATTTTGCTATATTAATGGTACGTATTTACAAAAAATAAGGTTTTTCGCACCAATGTCTCTGACCACCGGTTCTCCGGCGATCGTTTCAATTTTTTTTTGTCATTTCGACACCGTCGTCCGTTACTTTTTTCGGTGTGACGCTGTGCGTACCTTTTAATACCACATGATTTGTGTGCTTTACGCTTTAATTTTTTCTGTGTGCAGGTTTGTCCGGTTTGGGATGCCTACATTACCCGTCATATTTTAAGCCTACACATAATCGTCACCGACATACGATTACGTATAATGTTGTGAGTCCAGTATTTAAAATTTAAATCAAATTATTATAGCCTGTTACGTAGGCTTGGCAACATGGCAAGCATTCTGGGTTTCCTCAATCAGATTATACAATATAGCCCTTTATTATTACGTAAATTTGACTGTCACATCATTTCGGTTTTTAATCAAGATTATTTAATCATTAAAGTTTACCCTGAAATTTCTCATATTTCCAATATATCTAATGAATGGCTCCGTGAACGTACAACTATGGTCCCTAAAAAAGACAACGTCTACATTAATAACGAAAAAGTTCTTTCCATGTTTGAAGCTGATAAAAAAAAAAAAAACAACTATATTTCCATAATTACACTTATTAATCAAGATTAAACCATAGATATCCCGACTGAATTTCTTAACTCATTAAATCTATCAGGCCTCCTCCCACATTAATTTGATTTAAAAATCGGTGCGTTTATAATTCTTATGCGAAATTTAAATGCTCACAAATTCTGCAATAGAATGAGATTAAAAATATTATAGGTGTGTGAATAAGTCGTCTTTCCCGTTTTTTTTTCAAATTTTGAGCCTTTATTGTGAAAAAA